AAGACGTGTCCCATCTCTCTCTCTCTCTCTCTCTCTCTGGGTGTGTTTGTGTGTATGTGTCTGTGTCGTTATGTTCGCTATACACAACTCCACAAAAAAAAACACGACTAAGCCAGACTGTCTCATCGGACTTCCACCGATTCGTCAGGAGGTTGAACCCCAACAGCTGCCCGGAATGAATTTGGTTGATGGATAAGGGCTCACCATGTTGTGTGTGTGTGTGTGTGTGTGTGTGTGAGTGTGTGTGTGTGTGTGTGTGTGTGTGTGTGTGTGTTTGTGTGTGTGTGTGTGTATGTTTGTGTGTGTGTGTGTATGTGCCAGACACATGTGAGTCACAGTCAAGTGTGGTAGTGTAGAGTGGAGTAGTAAAGTCAAAGTCGAGCGTGGTGGTGCAGAGTGAAGTAGTAAAGTCAAAGTCGAGCGTAGAGCAGCATAGGGGCCAATCTTTCCCGCGTCGTGGGATTTGCCTGTGCCGCCACCAAATATGTGCGTGCCGCCAGTGCGCTCCGTAGGATTTTCCCGTGTCACCACACAAAAGGGAAGCCTACGGGAACTACTTTGGCCGTTGGGAAGCCCGTGCACAGAAACGGCCCGCTCCAACGGGCAAGCCGCTTCCCAACGGCACTTGACTGCGGTAGTACCACTTGACTCCGGTAGTACCCCACGGCACTCCGCGGGGCGTCTATCTGAGTCCTCGGTCCTGACCAACGGTCTGGACCTCGGCGCAGTGACTCCGGTAGTACCCCACAGCACTTCGCGGGGCGTCTACCTGAGTTGTCGGTCCTGACCGACACTCTGGACCTCGGCGCAGTCCTAAGATCTTAAGACCGCATCTATCCAGGCCGTCGGTCAGGTAGTACCCGACGGCCCAGATGGCAGATTTGTTACATGGTTCAGTCGATCGGGGCCGTGGGCCGGTAGGACAGACGACGGCCCGTATTTCAGATTTGTCACATTAGCGATTTTATCAGTGTAGGGATGAATCTACCGCTAGAACATGGAAATATACACTGCCACAATTTTTTTCCTTGTGTGTGTGTGTGTGTTGTGTGTGTGAGAGAGAGAGAGAGCGAGTTTTCCATCAATAGGGTGAGCAACGCCACTGCCACACGTTTTCCCTTGTGTGTGTGTGTTGTGTGTGTGAGAAAGAGAGAGAGAGTTTTCCATCAATAGGATGAGCAACGCCCCGGCCAACAGGTAAGTCTCCAACCCCGAGACTGGCCTCACGCTACTTCCATCGATATGATGAGCAAAATCGAATGAACGTTCCGCTAGAACATCGAAATGTACACTACTACACGCGTGTGTGTGTGTGAGAGAGTGAGAGAGAGAGAGAGAGAGAGAGAGAGTTTTCCAGCCATGCACACAGAGACATAGAGAGAGGCTAGTTCCATTAATAGGATGAGCAAGAATATGGAAATATACACTGATTTCCAGCCATGCTACTTCCATCGATAGGATGAGCAAAATTGGAATGAATCTTCCGCTAAAACATGGAAATATGCACTGCCATTTTTTTGTCTTTTTCTTTTTTTTTTTTTACGTATGTGCGTATTTGTGTGTGTGTGTGTGTGAGAGAGAGACAGAGAGAGAGTTTTCATCGATTACTTGAGCAACGCACCGGCCAACAGGTAAGTCTCCAACCCTGAGGCTGGCCTCACGCTACTTCCATTGATAGGATGGGCAAACTCGAATGAATCTTCCGCTAGAACATCGAAATATACACTACTACACGTGTGTGTGTGCGTGCGCGCACGTGAGAGAGAGAGAAAGAGAGAGAGAGAGAGAGAGAGAGAGTTTTCCAGCCAGGCACACAGAGAGACAGAGAGAGGCTACTTCCACCAATAGGATGAGAATATGGAAATATACACTGCTTTCCAGCCATGCTACTTCCATCGATAGGATGAGCAAAATCAGAATGAATCTTCAACCAAAACATGGAAATATACACCGTCAATTTTTTTGTCTTTTTTTTTGTGTGTGAGAGAGAGGGAGAGAGAGAGAGTTTTCCAGCTATGCACGCAGAGAGATAGACAGGCAACCAACCTCCTGCTTGCAGGCGCCATCCTCCTACCCCCTGCCACCTCCCTCTCTACTCGCTCACAGCGCCCAGCCCCATCGCCCTCAACACCAACCGCGCCAACACAGTAAGTTCCATGTCGACCCACCGCTCGATCGTCCGTACCTGCCCAATGCTGATGCGCGCATCCCACTGCCAGATCATCCAGCCAGACCGGCGCAAAACGAAACTGAACCCCAGCGCGAGAAGAAAAACTGCCTGCAATCCCGAACAGTCATGAAACGGCATGATACTGGGCCTCGCTCCACTGCTCACCAAATAAGCTACGTGAGAACGATTCTTCCGGTAGAATGTGGGAAGGTGCACTGCCAGTTTTTTAAACACCCCTTCCCGACCCCGCGCAGCGCAGCACAAATTTTTACTTGTACAGGGACTGCCGCGCGGCACCAAATTTCCCTGGGCCCGCTGGGAAGCATCACATTGGGCCCTTTTCAGTTTTTAATAGTATAGAGAAGAGATAGAGATAGAGAAAGGCAACGGCTTCGAAATACTATCATTGGACTGGACCCCAGGTTATTCAGATTTATTTTGTTCCGTTCATCTGGTTCCACTTGGATTTGAACTCTGCTCCATGGTTTCATCCCTGCCTACCACCGACCCCGACCGCCGACCGTATTGCGGCCGACCAGTAGGGCCGACCAGTCGGTGGTCTGCCGACCAGTCAGAAAACAACCATCCACTAACTTTTTTCAGATCTGAGTTGGAAGTTGAACTGAGCTTGCCAAGTACAGCCCAAATCCACTGAGAAACTTTTGGGCTTTCTTTTTT